TGCTCTTTCCTTGCCTATCTGTATGTTCCGATTTCCCACAAAGTGCATTATTTCCTTCAGTTATTAGGGAAGTCGTAGTGAGGGAAACCATCCTGTTAGAGACCCTGCATCCGTGCACATTGCAGAACACGCCATGTCCAAACCCGCTTCCAGATGACTTCTCCTGGGTGTTTAAAGAGCTGACCAGTCATGCAGCTTCCGTCTGCTGACCCACAGATGCACCTGCCACCTGGCACCCAGGCAGGGAGGGCCCTGACCACTGTGGGAACCAGGTGCCTAAATGGCCCCACCACCCAGCACCCAGCCCCTGTGGAGGATGGAGGCAAGGACGTCACCTTGCTCTGTCTGGGGTACACCAGGCGACATGGGGAACTGCCAATCACAACCTGTACTAGGCACGTGAGTTCCGGGCTCTAGGGGGTCTGCTCACTGCACGGAGCGGCCCCCTCACTGCCATCCTCCATGTGCCATCGCCACCTGCCCTGAGGGTGACCAGGTTCCAGACCCGCTGAAGGAATGAAGGGCCTTCCTGAAGAGGTCGGGCAGCCAGTCTCCAGCCTCAGTCTAACTGCCTCCGGACGCAGGGGACAGAAGTGGGGGAGACAGTATGGAGTCAGGAGAGAGGAGGCTCAGGAATAAGAGGCTGGGCGTGCCCGGGTGTGAGGCCCGGCTCCGGGAGGAGGAGAGAAGAGAAGGTGCGCAAGGTGGTGTGCATCGGGGACGCACCGGGCGCCTGCAAGGCTGCGCCGCATCCACCAGGGCCTCTGTGGCACCTGTGGCGTCCATCACCAACAGCCTGGCTTGACCTTCCGTAGCATGCGCTGCACATTTCCTGCCAGGAACGACCGTCATCTAAGAGTAGTTTTTCGCTCCAACTAAACCCGATATTTGGTCTCGGCCCCTGAAACAAAACGCGGCCGGGTGTCGCAGAGCTGTCCCATGGGTGAACGAGCCGAGTGTCCAAGCAGAGCCAAGCGGGAAGGACGCTGTGCCTTGGTGGGCTTTTCGTTTATTTTGTTTTTTGTTGGTGGTGGGGTGGGTTTTTTGTTTGTTTGTTTGGTCCTTGAGCTTTGAAAATAGCCCTTTGCTTTGCTAACCCCCATTAAACCTGACCGCAGCCCTTTCTCACCTCCACGCAGGCCACCCACCACCTGCTTCCTTCAGGCAGGGCGGGCCCTTCGAGCTCCCTAACAGGCCTCCACCCCTCTCCCCAGAATGCCGACCCCCTGCCCCCATACTCCTTTGCTTTTCAGGGGTCCTGGCCACCTCGTCGTGGGCCCTCAACAGTGCCTCTCTCCGGACAGGGGGCCCCATCCTGCCCTTCAGGTCCTACACACAGGCCCAGAGTGGGTGTCTGCTGGCCTCTGCTGCTCTAAGTGGCTGCAGTGGAGGCCCTGGAGGCCCTGGAGTGCCCCTCCAGGCAGGGGTGAGCAGCTTTCCCTCCAGCTGTCCCCCAGCACTGTGGTCAGCTCAACTCACACTCCCTGTCAGGAGCTGTAATCAGGTGGCGCTCAGGCCCTGCTCATTCAGCAGAGACGGTGCTTAGGTGTGCTTCCCCCTTACCTCCAGAGGCAGGAGCAAAGTCAGCAGAAGAAAGCTGAGCCCTGGCTGCTCCCTGCCTCACCAAGCCGGGGCCTGGGGCCCAGCTCCTCAACCATTTCCTGGTGAGCAGGAGAGACAGAGAGAACAACAGCTCTTCTGCCCCCTCAGGGACAGCGTGAGAACATGGCTTCATGGGCCGCACTTGAAGAAAGTAAAGTCCTGCTCAGATAGGCTCCAGGTGAAACCCAGGACGCCCTCCTGGGTTGGAACAAGGCACGTGAGTTCCAGGCTCTTATGAACAACGTAAGTACAACCTCAGATGTTGCACGGCTTTTGTTGAAATTTTCACTTGAAAATTCAAATTTAACTGGGTGTCTGTTGGTGGGGGGGTCTGTGTGTGTTGTTTGGCTGACTCTTGGGGTTTGCTTTTGTCTCTGGATCTGGTGACCCTTCCCGCCCTGCCAGGGATCCCACCAAGGCCCTTCCCATGGCTGCTTCCCGTGGCCGGATGCCCACCAGCATTTTCTGAGTAGAAGGGAAGACAGCAGCTCCAAACTCCCTGCTGGAGAACAGCGGCTCAGCAGACGGCCCCTGTGCTCCTGCCAGCAGTGCAGAGAAGGGCCCCAGCTAGCCCTGGGGGCTGGACGGCCCCTGTGCTCCTGCCAGCAGTGCAGAGAAGGGCCCCAGCTAGCCCTGGGGGCTGCACGGCCCCTGTGCTCCTGCCAGCAGTGCAGAGAAGGGCCCCAGCTAGCCCTGGGGGCTGCACTTTGTCTGATCCTGCCAAGACACTTCTCAGAGTGAGAGGCAAGCACTCACTCAGGCCCAGTGTCTCCCAGACATGCTCTCGGTCCACTGTGGCCTCCACCTCCCTCTGCCTTTCCCAGGCATGCCCTTACCATCCGACAGGTTGAGTCTGTGGCCTTGCGGATAGGAGATCATCCCTGTGTTTGTTTCCAAGGGTTCAACACCCACTTCACATCCTGGGAGACCCAAGCTAGAAACTAGGAGACCTGACCCCGGGTGCATCGGCATGACCCAAAGAGCGTTCAGACCCTGCTCTCCATGCCCCGCCCTGGGCCAGTTACATCAGACTGTGTAAGAGTGTCCCCTAAAATCTGTTTTCCCAGCCCTCCAGGTGCACACAGGACTGAGAACACTGGTCCAAGGCAGTGGGTGTCTAAGTGTGGCCCCCAGACCAGCCATGTGAGCATCACAGGGGGCGGGGGGGGGGTTTGATAACGGCTCAGACACCCGCTTCCAAAGCACTGAATCGGAGTCTTTCAGGTGGGCTCCCAGGTGACCCTCATGCAGCCAGCATTTGAGGACCATGGTGTAAAGAAAAGCACGGGCTTTGGAAATGAAAACCATCTGGCCCCTATTCTAACACCAGCACCACCGCCCTCGAAACACCAGTAATAACACTTTGAATCCACACCACGAGTGGACACTTCTTTCACATACAAATGCTAAGCATCATGGGGCAGCCTGGAGGAACTCGACCACACTGTGAGGCACGCAATCCGCTCAGAGTTAACGCACCATGGCAACAGGCCTTCGAGTGCCAGTGTCAAAGGGACAAAGATGATGTCGTTCTATTCATTGGAACATAGAATTATATCCCATCCTTTTTCCCCTTCAAATTCAAGACCTCTGCTAGGCCATGTCCGCATGCTGGGAAGGCCACTGCCTGGGCCTCTCCTGACACAAACAACCTGCCCTAAAGCATCCTGGCTCAGGAGGGGCCCCTTTGCCTGTGGCCACCTGTGCCCAAACTGTCAGACACAGGATCAGCAAACCCCTGGCCCCTCCTCACCAGGGCCTGTCATTCCCTACAGTTCCCTCCTTCCATTCTGACCCTGCCGATCACCCTGTGCACCTCACAAAGTGTGTTCACACCTCAGTCAATTGGTTCTTACATTTGTGGTTACATAAGTTACAACTGTAATGATGGACTGCAGGGTCGCCCCTCTGTTTTTACTCTCTGCAATCATGTTCTCAGCATTTTCCACCATGGAGTAGAAAACTTGACCCCCTTTAAAATGACTCCAGAGAAGGGTCAGTGACCTACAGGGGGCACCCAGTGGGAACTGAGGGGCAGAAGATGCCCTGCACAGGTGCCCCCTCCTGTGTGAGATCCAGCTACAGCCCTGGGAGGAGACCCACTTTCCTCCTCTCCTTCCTCGTTCACTCAGCCCATTCACCTGTCATCCCTCCGTGGAGACGCTGCTCATAGACACCACCCTCCAAGCAAGCAGGTCAAATGAGGGGGAGATCAAGTGGGCACAGAAATGAGACATGAGGTCAGGGTGCCACACATGAATGTCCAGGAGCACCTGGGGCTCCAATTTGGCATCAACTGTGAGCCCAGGGCAGAGGTTGGGCATCCTGCCCTCTGACATCCTGGATCACGGCTGATTCCGGCTTTGTTCTATCTATGCCATTTGAAGTTTATAAAATTACATTTGAAGACAACATAAAGGAGAAGTTGGAGGCAGGACAAGATTAGAAAACGGATAAGAACATCAGTGAAAAAGAGAAAGAGATCAAGACAGATTTCAGCCAGGTGCCTGCACTGATGATGGACAGCAGGACAGCCAGGCCAACGGAGAAGGCCCAGGAGGGGGTCAGGGCCACAGCTCTGCATGAGGAAGCTGAGACGGGAGCCCAGGGCAAGGCTGACCAAGTCCCACAGGGTCCCACAGGGTCCCATGGACCATCAGCGGAGTAAGTGTTCTTGCTGAGAGGCTGGGACCCAGAGGGAGGAGGACGCTGGGACCTCCCAGGCCAAGGGGAGAAGGGGACGCTGAACCTAGAGAGTGAGCGGAGCGAGATCAGATCTGAGGAGGACAGACCTGGCTGACCACATCCCACAGGGTTAATGAGTGGGGGGCGGGGGAACCACAGCTCAGAGAGGCTGCGGGTACTTGGCCCTGGAGCTGCACTGAGACCTCAGCCCCAGGCAGAGGGAGGGGCACCTACTGCTGAACAGGACCAGCAAGGGACAGGTCAAACCCCCCTCAGAGGCTCCAGGAGCTGAGCAGCAAGGCAGCCCAGGTGGGCCTTGAGCCCTCTGCCCACCCCCTTGAGCTGCCTGCCGTGGGGGTGCAGCGAGGTCATGGTGTAGGGTCTGCCCACAGTGCCGGGCTCCACGGCTTCTCCTTCCTCAGAAGTCAGACTCTGTCCCTTTCTGCAACTCACCCTCCGGCCCCATGGGCCCGGCAGCCTCCCCTCTGCCTGCTGTTTCTATGGGTTTGGCTCCTAAGATTCCTCGTAAAAGTGGCATGATTTTTAGAAATCAACACTGAGCGTAAGCCTAGCAGTGGGGAAAATGGTCTGCTCGCTGACCACTCACCGCTGTGTATACACGCACAGGGGCTTTGGCGGATCTTACAGACCTCCCCTTTGCTGTGATGTAGGAGTGCTTGCCCCGAAGGAAAACTACTTAGTGTAGTCAAATATTTAACAGGCAATTAAAGGCTTTATGACGGAGGCTTATCTATTTCACTCAGTGGAGGAAATCGTTTTCTAAGCGACACCTGCCATCGCTTCAGATTTCTTTAGCAGTCGATATGCCTTGACTGGACTTGGCCTTGCTTTCTGTGGACCGTGGGTGAGACTTGTCCCATGTAAAGGGCCTGGGACATTCAGTCTCATCCCTGAGATCTCTCATCGATGTCTAGATTCCTGCAGGATTCTTGCAAGGAGCTGGTCAGTAGGGCTACAAGACCCAGAATCTCTCACCAGGGTGCCCAGGAGCTGCCGGCCTTTCCCCCTGTTCTGTCAAAATCAGCCAAAGGGGCAAATAAATGGTTGAGTCCAGGCCCTAGAATCTGAGAAGCAATTACCACTGAGGACAAAATTCGGTCCTGAGTCCCTGCAACTGCCTGCAATATTTTTGTCACTGGAAAGCCATCAGAAAGTTAATTTGGAGAAGCAGACCCTTCCTGCCCCGTGGGCGATATGATCTACACCATAGGTAAGGCCCCGCCACACTGTTCCTCGTGGATGAGCCTCCGCCTGCGCCTGGCAGGGCTGAAGCCACGTCCCAGCTCGCAGGGCACCTTCCCATGGAGACCAGGCCATGTGGTCCAGGCACACTGGTGTCCTGTTCAGGCCCCCAGCTTCTCAATACCTGAGAGGGGGAAAAGCGGTCAGTGCATGGGCATCCCACACCCCATACACTTCCCAGGGAGAAGCCCCAGGTGCGCCTGAGTTGTTCAGCCAGGCGAGAAGGCAATGGTGAAATCACAGGGGACCGGCCAGGGCTGCAGCTGGATGGGACGGTCTTAAGTTCTGTGTGAATTAGTCCATGGGCCAGGAGCCGATCACATCAGCTTTGCAGAGCTCGATGCTTGGTCCACCTCAGAGTTTCTGCTCACACCACACTGACCAGCTGAGTTTTCTCTGGGCTCATGTGATCGTAGAACATTTTCCTCGTGAGCCAAGAAGCCCTCAGTCCGTTGGCTCTGAGGAGTCACTTATTCCTCCAGGTTGGATGGAATTAAACCTGGACTTGGCTTACTGGGGGCCTGTGTTTGTGAAGCTGTGGGGGTTAGTCAGTCCCCAAGTTCAGGGTCTAGAGACCCAGTCCCCTGCAAGAAGAGCTGGTGCAGAAGGCAGGGAGGCCAAGGACCTGAAGGGCCCAGGGTTTGCAAGAGAGGTGGCCTTGGAAGGAGCTTTCTGTAGCCTGAGGTGACATGAGGGCAGGTGGAGTTCAGTTAGTTTGTCTCCCTGTGTCCCTGCCAGTCACCATCTACCAAGTTGACATTGTTCTCTTGGGCCTGTCCCCTGCTTCAGCTGCTACCTGCCTGCCTACTCTTTCTCTTCTTTAAATGTCCCCTCCAAGTCACCTGCAGCCCAGACCGACAGGTGTAGTCTCTGGAAGAATAAGCAAGAAAGGGAGGTGTGGGGCTGGGTTGCGCCTGATTAAACCCTTATTCAGCTGGACAAACATTCATCGAGCTCCGGGTTTGCCCTGGACCGCGTTGGGTGTCGAGCTTCAAAGACGAAGAAGACCACGCTAGCCCTGGAGAGCTCTTGTCCAACAGGGAAACACCACTGTGGTCCACGGCCTCCACAGGAGCCGAGCCCCTGGGCAGACACCCAGCTGCTCACCGTGTGCCAGGACCGCTGGGCAGAGGTGTGGACAGGTGGTGGGCGAGGGCCGCTCAGACTCCAGCACCCAGGGCTGAACTCCGGCGTTGTTCAGGCGTCCATCCTGGGAGGAGGTGGAATCCTGAGGGCTCCCAGCTGGGCCATCACCCCGTCCTCACCAGGGTCGCTTAAACGGGTGGACACGTGCTGAAACTCAGGCAGAGGAAGAATGGGGAAGGCAAGGGACTTCCAGGGGGGGGGGGCTCCCTGTTCTTAGGAAGTGTTCAGCTTCTCCAACGGAGGAGCAGGCATCGAGGAGACCTGGGGCAGGTCTGCCGAGGTCGTCGGCGGTTACCTGGTGGTGGTGTGCAGGTGTAAAGGTGCACCCTGGGCATGCACCTCAGTCTTGCCCCCAGTCCCTTAGAACCTACCAGGGCCTGCCATCCTGCAGACCCCGACGCCTGGGAACAGCTGGGGACCCGTTCCATAGGAATAGCGTTGATCTCCATCGCTTGTTCCTGTGCAGTGGACAATGTTACTAAACTTTTAACAATAATACACGGCCTCCGGTGTACATAACATTTTCTTTTCTTTTACAAAATATAACCTAAGATTAGCCCAGCCCTGTGGTGTCCACTATGATACCCTGGACACATGTGGATATTTACATTCAAATCAATGAAAGGTCATTGGCGATTTAGTTGTTTGGTCACCCTAACTGCGCATCCCGAAGCTCTTCGCGAGAGTGATCTAGAGCAGGCGCCGCTCACCCTGGACTCCAGCCTCAGTGCACAGTGGACACTCAAGGCTTATTTTCAGAACAAATGAATGAAGGCAACTTGCTGATGGTTCCAGGCAGCATGAGAACAATAAGATATTGGGGGAGAGGCCCTCTGCCATTGAGGAGCCTGCATCCTAGACGGAAACAGACAAGGTGAAGCCATGCCCACTGGTGCGGAGGACGCTGGCTGAGCCCCTCAGGGCTCCCCGCTGCACCCATCCTGAGTACTCTATGCACGCCCACACCCTTGAGGCCCCCCCACGCCGCGCCGTGCACCAGGGCTGAGCGTCCCTCACGTGCTAACGGCCCCTGAGCAGATTCACGACTCAACCTCTTTTATTTAAACCCTCGGCCTTAAAGCTGGAAGTGCTTTTCAGACCTGATGCCCAACCCCATCCTCTTACATTCCATCTAGAATCGTCCTGTGCTTTCGAGAGTGAAGATCCTTCCCAGCCTCCTGATGAAAACGCCTCTTCTAGTTCTAGCGCCACAGGTAACACACAGGGATCCGCTTGGCCCTTTCACCGTTTTGCAACGATAGCAAAAATTATTCACTTCTCCCAGCTGTTTTCTCATTCACCAGCGATGAGGACAGGAAAAGCTCTCCCCGTGAAGAGCCTTCATGCGTCAGACCAGGAGAGCACTGGGTGTGTTTGCTGGGAACAGCGTGTGCCCTGCACTCAGCAAACGCAGGTGTCCCCTCCCTTTCCCTGCTCTAGGAGGGCCAGGCCAGGCAGTCCCTCCTGCAGTTCCCCCACTGACCTGACCCACTTCCTTCCTCCCCTCACACGCTCCCTCCCCAATGCTGGCCACCCACAGGATTCCTGGAGACTCTTGGTAAAATAGAACCGTGTTGAGAATCCTCAAAATCTTCTCTTCCAGATATTTTGAAACACACAATAAATTACTGTAAATCACAGTGTCTCTACTGCACTGTCGAACACTAGGCTCACTACTCCTCTAACCACTTTCGCACACGGTAAGCTCCCAACCTAATAAATGAGTGTTGGAGGTCATGCACATGCTAACTACCCAGCATAGCACATAAACACATAAGCTGCTGTGGGTCGATTAAAAACTTAAAAGATCTTCCTGCATAACCGTGTCACGTGTGCTCAGAAGACGTGAGCGACTTATGCAGAACACGCTAGGCCAATGGTGCTTCTCACCCACCCACACTGAGAGCTTCCGATTGGAAAGAGGATCTGGGCTAGAAAAGGACCACTGGTGAGCAGGGTTAACCTCCAAATGACACATTTTCGTGCATGTGGTCACTGGCAGCACAGGAATCCGAGTCAACTCATCCTCTGTGGACAAAGGCCACTTGAGTGTCTGCTTCACCCACCACAGTGCTCGGGACACTTGTCCCAGAATCCAGTGATGCTACTGAGACAACTTTGCAGCCCCGACGAGCCTTCGCACATGTTTATAAGGACACACTCTATAAAATCCTGTTTGCCCAGCACGTGTGAACATGACCATCGGTCCTGAAATCCGTCCCCAGCACCTGCCTCCACTCTGGCTGCCGGACTGCATTTGTCCCTTCCTACGATTGTCATGATTTTACCAACAGAGGGTCTTCGCTTTCCACCTCAGCCATTCCACCCTGAAACGGGCTTAAGGTTTGTTTGCCTATCTTTGGGTATTTACCCATCCAGAAGTCCAAAATGAATTGTAAATGTTTAAGTCATCTGAAATATTTTTAGATGAATCACTTGTTCAGTGGTTTTCCATGTTCGGGATTTATTTTACCATCAGTCACATCCTGTCTCTGTTAGCACTGCAAACACTTGTAGAGCATGCGTTCTGTGGGTGGCTTTAATGCACGATTATTGACAAAGCTTTTAGGCTTTCCGTCACGCATTTGACTTCTCCCCCCAGTGTTGGCCCAGGCTTGGGGAGGGATGGCTTGGAGGGACCTCCCGGAAGTCAGAGCTTCAGTGCTTCTGGGAGGTCAGACAGGGAGGACAGCTGGGCATGTGACCACCAGGCAGTGGCGGGAGGACCTGACTGCCCAGCCTCGGAGACCAGCCTGTTTTCTACAGCTCTTCGCACCACGTGTGGCCCTTTGCTTCCTGTCACCTCTGCCGTTCTGTTTCTTCCTCCTGCCCCCAGGGCCAGCAGCCACTGCTGCTCCACCTCCCCCTGCTGCGCATACAGCATTTTCGTGGTTCAAGAACAGTGGGTGGCAATCAGAAGAGAGTTTGCCTCTCTGCACCTGCAGCACCCATGGGATTCCAGGCAGAAAACAGAGCACGTGGAGCATGTCAGTCAGAACATGCGGTTTGAGAGCATGGAAAATACAGGCACAGAAGCCCAGCTCAGTGCTGAACATGATCAGTCGGATGTCTGCAGGTCCTAGAGGAGGAAACAGCCAGCAAGATGGAGCTCTGGAGAGAGGAAGTCTTGGTCTGTTTTCTGGTACTATAACAAAATACACGACCCTGAGTAATTCATGAAGAAAAGAAATTTATTTTGGCTCACGGTTCTGGACGTCAAAGAGCATAGTGCCAGTAGCTGCTCAGCTGTTCTGGTGCCGGCCTCCTCATGCCACTCCAGAACAGCAGAAGAGGAACAGCAGCAGAGGCATGCAGAGAGGGAGAGGACAGAGGGGTCAGCTCACTATGTGGCCACCCACTCTCCTGACAGCTGACCCACTCTCACAGCCATGGCTCAGATCCCCTCAGGAGGGTGGAGCCCGGGGCCCTGTCACCTCTCCATGCTCCCACCATTGAGCACTATTACTTTGACAAGTAAATTCCAACGTGAGTTTGGGAGCAAAAACCACATCCAAACTCTGGCAAAGGCAGAATGGAAGTCTCAGGTCACTTGCATCACCCCATGTCTCCCTCCCTCTCAGAGGTCGCTGGCAACAGGACGGTGTTGGCTGCACCCCACCAATTCCTCTCACCCTGACCAGCTCTGAGCAAGAGGTGGCTGAAGCGCCCACCCTGCTAATATACCACAGGGGGGAATTTCAACAAGGGACACTTCAGGGACACTCAGACCACATCACACCCGAGCAGAGCATCCTTCCAGTGTCCAGGGCCCTCCGCCTCCCTGAGGACAGCAAGAGATGAAGTCCTACCTGACCCCCCCAGCGTTGCAGTCTCCTGGGGACGTGCAGCACCCCTCCTGCTGGTCCCTGCTGCCTACTGGACAGTCCCCAAGCTTCTTTCTAAGAACTGGGCCATAAATGCAGCCTCAGGCCCTAAAAACATCGGATTGTCCATGAATCAGAATAATCTCTCCACATCCCCTGGGCAGAGTCCCAAAGCCTTTTGTCTGAAGTCCAGGCCAGGAACTGGGAGAGCCGGCCCACAAGGGCCACTCCCCCACATGGGCCAGAAAGCAAGCAGGCACCAGGACGCCCCTCGGAGTCCACAGCCCCAGATGCCAGCTGCCAGGGCCCTGTCACCGCTGGAGAGCCAACTAAGGGGGCAGGGACCTGACCCAGGCACAGGGGAGTCAGAGGTGCCAGGTGAGGCCTAAATTCCACCCGGCTACGCTCAGATCCAAGGTGCTCAGCCTGGCCACAGGCAGGGCCAGCAGAACACAAGGAAAGGGTCCGTGTAGCTGCCGGTGCACCCTGATGCCCTCTGGACATGAGCCCTGACGTCTTTTCCTTCAGAGCTGTGCAGCCGGCCCTCATGCCCACAAAATCCTCGTCCCTGGACCCCTGCCACAAGTCACAAGTATTTGGGGGAAAAACTGCATCCATACTGAACATGTGGGAACATTTTTCCTATCCTTATTCCCTTAAAAATACACGACTTGCATGGCATTTACACTGTAGTTGGCATCCTAAGTGACCTAGGGGAGACTCAATCTGTGGAGAGGACACTCTGGTCATGGGCAGATACTGTGCCACTTTACCCCTGGATCTTGGCCTGCACTGGGGGATCGTGGGGCCAAGCCCCTGACACTCAGCCTGCAGCCACCTGCTGGGAGCCACATTGGCTTTGACCTCTTCAGTGCTGTTGGGATCGGGAAGGGCAGATGGGCGTTCTGTGCTCACGGCTGCTTGACCACGTGATGGAAGGCCTGGGTCTCCCCACATCCATCTGCTGCTGCCCACCCCGGGCCTCAAACCGAAGGGAGACCTGGGAGAAGCCTCAGCTGGACTGTGCTGTCATCAAAGAGCCCATGGACGGCTATATCCTCCCACGACACATAATTCCCTCTGGGATAACTTACAAGGACCCACCGGCCCCAAACCACACGGCCTTCTGTTGGTGGTTGGCTCTTTGCACCACAGAAACCAAAGCCAGCAGAAGGTGCCAGCCCGGAAGCCACGCAGAGGAGGGGGGAGGGCGCAGGGACCAGAGATGGAGCCCTGTGACGAGGACTCTGTGCTGAACACGAGTGGAAAGGAGAGGGAGTGCCGAGCGGGCAGCTGGACGGCGGGTGTGTCCGGGCGTCTTGCTGCTCCCGTGGTTTCCACAGTGAGTGGAAGGGGACAGGCGGCCAGGGTGTGGCTCGCTGGATCCCTGTCGTTTGGTTGAGTGGTCGTCCTGGGATCACAAAGGAGCTCAGTGTAATCTTGGGTGAGCACGGAGCCAAAGTCCAGAGGGTCTTCATCTCTGCACGGCGGGGTGTCCCCCATGCACTCCGGCTTGTCCTGAATTGTGTGGCTCTCCAGGCAGATAAACTGGACTTCTGGGCATCCCAGTGTCCTTATCTGCAAATGGGAAGATGGTACCCGTTGTTTCTGACTCACAACCTCCGTGACTCTCCTCTGGTAAGAACATGTCAGATCCACCTTGAGGGATGTCCTCCCTCAGCTTCTGGCCCATGCACCCTCCCCCGCTTACCACCTTGGCAGCCTCTGTCATCGGAGACCCTGTCCTGCCAGAGCCAGGGTGCCCACCCACACCAGGCCTCGGAGAATTCTCCCAAATCCTTGACTCTTGTGATGGGTCCCAAGGACGGACACAGTGAGAAAATTCATCTCATCCTGATTCTTCAGCTCATCCGAGGAGCCCTCTGTATCCCCCAGTAAATCCACTCTTTGTCCAAGTTAGCCCAAATCAGTTTCTGTTGCTTGCCACCAAAGAACTCTGATTATTTTTTAATTTGTTCTTTTTAGATATACATGACAGTAGAGTGCATTTTAGATATCATTCATACGTGGAATATAACTTCCCATTCTTGCAGTTGTACGTGATGTGGAGTTACACTGGTCGTGTATTCATATATGAGCCCAGGAAAGTGACGTCCAATCCATTCCACTGTCTTTACCATTCCCATCCCTCTTCCTTTCCCCCCACTCCACCCTGTCCAACCCCATGAACTTCCCCTTCTCCCACCCCCCACCCCCACTCCCTACCTATTGTGAGTCAGCATCCGCATATCGGAGAGAACATTCGGCCTTTGGTTTTTTGGGATTGACTAATTTCACTTAAAATGATAGTCTTATAGTCTCCAATTCCATCCATTTACCAGAAAATGCCATAATTTCATTCTTCTTTAATGGCTGAGTAATATTCCATTGTGCATATGTACCACATTTTCTGTATCCATTCATCTGTTGAAGGTCACCTAGACTGTTTCCATGGCTTAGCTATTGTAAATTGAGCTGCTATAAACATTGGTGTAGCCGCATCACTGTGGCATGCTGGTTTAAGTCCTTTCGGTATATGCTGAGGAGTGGGATGACTGGGTCAAATAGTGGTCCCATTCCAAGTTTT